ATTTGAACTAAGCAGACAGATTTTCGGGAGTAGAAAGATTAAAGGATAAACCTTAGATACCTATTGAATTTTTAGTATCGGTTTTTTTAAAGAGTCGCTTCTTGTGAAAGTTATTTTAACTTTTGTTTGCAACTTTATCTAACATTTGTTTTTCTTAGACACTTCAGCTGATTGACGATCTACTAATTTTAGAAGTAAACTCACTCAAATGCGAACAGCAAGTGTTAAGAAAAATGTTTTCTATAAAACTAAACCTTTTATTTCTTTTGTTTTCATAAATATCGCTTCTTTTCGAATGTATAAGTATTGAGTTAAATTTGAAAAGAAGCGATATTTATGAAAATAAAAGAAGTAAAAGGTTTAGTTTTATCGGAAACATTTTTCTCAATACTTGCTGTTCATATTTGAGTGAACTTACTTCTAAAACTAGTAGATCGTCAATCAGCTGAAGTGTCTAAGAAAGACGCATGTTAGATGTTTACCTCATTGGCGAAGATCGTCCAATCAGAGATGATTAAGACACTTCAATGTTAAAATTAGTTATCGGTTGACATTAAAGTGTCTAGATCAGACAAATACCAACCAATCAGAATTAATTGAAAGTATCTTGTCGAAAAGGTTGAAACGTCTTGTTTATACACTTCATATGTCTTTACTTTTTAGAGTGTCAAATTCAGTATAGTTTGTTTCGACCGTGGCACACATCAATGACGATGTTGCATCATTTCCTTTTTCGAGTTGCTGCTGCTGCTGGTCACATCAGCTGGACAACCTACGCTCCATCTAATGCGCTTCTTAGCCATCACAGCATTCTTATCTCCAATCTCATTCAAAATGAATATCGTCGATACAACTCATCCGATGTTACCGGTGTAGCATTTTCTCCTCTTCCTGATGCAGAACTCAAAATTCAACTCTATTACAAAGCACAAGAAATCAAAAAGCGTAAAGAAAAATTAAAACAAATAGCACAATCCATATGGAATAAGAAACCGAATGTGGATTATGCTCGAATTACTTTGAATGAATGTAAGACAATGTACGAAGAACATACTGGTCATGTACCTTCTCCATGGGAAGCAAAACAAATCTACAGGTAGGTGAATTCTATTCTTTTTATCGACTCTCACGAAAACTGCGAAGGTTTTTTATGAAAAAAAAAATGAAGAATTAGTTCAATTTTTTCAAAACGTTCATTCATTAGGTTGGAGTTAAAAAAATAGAATGCTATTTATAGAAGGGAATTTTCTGAGGTAATTGGAACAGTTTTTCTTTTACCAAATAAAAATGTAAAAAACTTAGTAAAATAGACAACTTGGAAAAAACCTTTTTTTTTCAAAACACCTGAAAAGTAAACAACTTCAGTTCGTATGATAGATACAATTCTTTTTTAATCGAAAGATTAACTCTCATTTCTTTTACTTTTTCATAGTGTAACACTGGAACAATATGCACCATGGCGTCATTTTCAAGAAGAAAAAGAAAGA